ATTAAAATTCCGTGATACGTAGTATTTTGATAAGCCTGGCAGTTATATAGTACATTATCTTGATCCAATGAACTGGAGCTACCTTCTCCTTTGATCAAAGCTGATACTTCTCTCTCTCCCCGGGTGTTGTATAACCCTTATGGACTTAACGCTTCCCCATAATTATTATAATAATTATATTATTAATACAGCATTTGATATTAGTATTTCTCATGTGTATAATAATAATTTATAAATAAATAATTAATGCATATAATGCAATGTTGATAGTGTAACGAACGCTAGTCAATGAGAGTTGGGAAATTCACTTGGATACATAAAAGTTGGAAGAAATAAAGAGGACGTCATTAGAAATCGAAATACACAACTTCCTCTCCATTTCTAGTTTCATTTTTCTCTCCAGATGGACCTCTCGTACGTATAATGTCTAAAGTCAGACCCAGAGACCAGCTCATTATAGGTCTGCACATTTTTACACGCTTTACCAGAAGCGGTGCGAGTCAGTACAGTGTCTCGGGGCACACTGGTTGGTTGGATAATTTTGGCTTGAAGATTATTTACTCTTCAAAGGGTTATTAAGAGTGGATGTCACCTGCTTACGATCAGTCAAGAATCCTTCAATACCTACACTGGGACTAAATGTAATATTTTAATGTGCATACACTATGTAATGAATGGTTTTGAAAACCGACAAGTTGAAGATTGAGACACTCATGCAACATATGGGAATCTTTATTGAGGAAACGTTTCGCCACACAGTGACTTCATCAGTCTCCTCTCCTCTCCTTACACCTTTCTGCTTTGTATTGGACTGATGAAGTCACTGTGTGGCGAAACGTTTCCTCAATAAAGATTCCCATATGTTGCATTAGTGTCCCAATCTTCAGCTATATGTTCACGGTTTTCACACTCTTCAAGAAGGAACTTTACAAGTTTCTGAAGTAAGATTCTGAACACCTGGGCTGTGTGTGGTGCTTTTGTAGGCTTATATGCTGGGAAAACCAACAGTTTAGCGTAGCTAAGGGCGCCCCGTGGCCTGGAAGGCAAAGCTCTCCCTTCATATGCTGAGGGACCGTGGTTCGATTCCTGGCAAAGGTGGAAATATTGGGCGTGTTTCCTTACACCTCTCGGCCCTGTTCACCTATCAGTAAAATGGGTACCTGGGTCTTAGTAAACTGGTGTGGGGTTGCATCCTGGGACAAAATTGACCTAATTTGCGGGAAATGTTCAGCATAACAAAGGGCTTTCTATATAACAGTATGTCATTGATGTCAGCTGGACTGTATACCTTGTACATGTACTTGTAGAAATAAAGATATTATTATATTATTATCAATTTGTTAAGAGGGAGGACTGGTCTAGGACCAGTCGATGATCCTCTAAACAACTGGAGATAACTGAGACTTCACACACCTGACTCAAGTTGTCTCCACCCAAGTAACAATCCTTTCAAGGGGTGTATACCTTCATGACTGTGAAGGGTTCTTGTTCCAAAGAAGTGGGCATTTTGCCCACATGAGTGATGTCACCTGTGTGAGTGTACGTACGTATGAGCGTGTGTGCATATGTATATATATATATATATATATATATATATATATATATATATTATATATATATATATATATATATATATATATATATATATATAATACATATATATATATATTATATATATATATATATATATATATATAATATATATTATATATATATATATATATATATATATATATATGTGCAATAATAATTATCTATATATATATATATATATTTATCATATATATATAATGTGTGGTGGTGTGTGTGTGTGTGTATCACCTAATTGTATCACCTAATTTGGTTGCAGGGGTCAAGACTCAGCTCTGGCCCCGCCTCTTCACTGATCGCTACTGATCCTCTCTTCTTTTGTTCTGAGCTTTGTCATACTCTTCTTAAAACTAAAGTATTGGTTCATGGCTCACTACTCACTTGCTAGGCTATTCCCTTGCTGACAATCTAGACTGAAGAATATTCTAACGTCCTGTGACTCGTCTGAGTTCAGCTTCAGTTGTACCTTGTCCTGTCCCCTTCTGAAAAATCATATCTTGTCACCTTGTCTATTCCAGCAGTATCTTGTATGTCGTTATATGTCTCCCCTGACCTTCTGTCCTCCATGTGTCATCCGATTTCTTACCTTCTCGTAACATTCCCTTGAGCTCTGGACTAGCTTGTTGCAAACCTTTGTACTTTCTCTAACTTCTTGACGTGCTTGATCAGGTGTGGGTTCCAGACTGGTGCTGCATACTCCAGTATGGGCCTAACATACACAGTGTACAGTGTCTTGAACGATTCCTTATTAAGGTATCGGAACGCTATTCTCAGGTTTGCCAGGCGCCCGTATGCTGTGTGTGTGTGTGTGTGTATTGAATCTTTCCCTTGAAGATGGACACTGGTTGCAAGCCTCACTTCCGGTCAGGCTTGGGGGGCTGGGAGTACGCAAATCCTCCCAGATTGCCCT